GGGGGGGAGTGAAGAGTTGTCGAGTTCAGGGGGGATGATGTCAGAGGTGGAAAGTTTTCCTGCGAGAGGGTGGCGCCAGCCTATGTGGGAGGTCAGGGAGTTGCACCGTCACGTACACGCGCCGGGCGAGAGGGTGGCGCCAGCGGACCACGTGGCAGACAAGGGGGTACAACGCTCGTGCGTATAATGGACCAAGGGGATTGCATCACGAGCGAGTGAGGGAGAGAGAGAGCACGCACACACACCGTCGGAGGGAGAGCCCTGCGAGCCAGACAACGCCCGAGAAGGTATACCTTATATATACTAAGGAAGCTATAGCCGACACACGACAGGGAGACACACTGCCAAAAATATGAACTCGCGCCGAGCCGCGCAGCGCACGACTGGGAGAGACAGAGACGGCTACAATATTATTATTAACCTGTAGAATAGCTAAGAGAAGTAAACGTGTAATCGCCTAACGAGATAACGTAAACGTCGCACGAGCAATATATATGATATGTATATATCTATACGCTATATTCGAGATACGTGGAATGAGTGTTGTGTTATTCATGTTATCCGTATATGATGAATAAATCCATCAGTTGTATAAATACTATCTAAAGACTTGCGTTCATTTCACTCTGGGTTTTCCTGCAACTGCATCACCGTCCTACCTTCGCTGTATAGCAGCGAAAAATGATCCCGACACAAATAAATTCCACGTGCTAACCACAGCGCGTGGGAAAATCCAGTGTGGTCACCTCTAGAGCCACTACACGATTTTTGGGGGCTCGTCCGGGATTTTCGCATGCAATAGTAGCAGAAGAGAGTAATACCAGAGTGAAATTGTTATACAGGGCCCTCGCTACCCACTCGCCAATTCGCCAATGGCGAACAAATGAGTAATCTGGCGATTGAAAGTCTGATTTGACGAAAAAAGTGACGAACGTAATTTTCCCGTAATAAACATGACCCAGCAAACATCGATCCTATTTGATCGTCGAAACAACAACGTTTCTTTTTGTGTGCCGGCACACTCCTGTGTCATTCCCGATTGCAGCTTTTTCCTCGATTCCGGGAAAGTTTTGCTGTCGCTCCCTCATACCAGCGCGGTGCCCACCCCTACATATACAGCAATAACCACACCCACGCGACTGTAACATTCAGTGCATTCGCCCCCCCCCCGTACTTCAATCAATGCCGCCCAGCCAGCAAGCACGAGCCACGATGTGCACAGCCAGGGGTGTTACGTGCTGCTTTTTTCGTTTTTTTTCCTTATGCGTGAGAATGCGTAGGACATGCGGGAGCGCGGGAGAATGGGTCCAGATGCGTGAGTCTCCCGCGAAATGCGCAGCGTGAGACTTAGTAGGTCTGCTAATAGAGTAAGATTTAAACTAAAGGGTGAAATTTTATTTTCGGGGTGCATCAAATGCATTCTAAGCCATTCAAATGTTTTAAATATTGCTGGGGGAGACCCCCAGAACCCCCTCTACCTCTCTCCCCCTGCGTCTGCCTGCAGAATCCACATTCGTGCCTACTGCACGCCTTTGAATTCATCATGTGCGTTTTTCCCCAAACTGGGCATTACCACCATTGTCTAATTTTCCCTCAGAAGAAACCCTGGCATTTAAAAAAGTCAAATGATTTTTACTACGCATGTGCGTGCACGTGTGTGTGTGTGTGTGTGTGCGCGCGTGCATGCGTGTGCGCGCGTGCATGCGTGTGCGTGCGTGTAGGTGTGTGTTTGTGTGTGTACTGTGTGTGAGGTACTGTAAAACGTAGTAAAACTGATAAGTACTAACTGGGAAATATAGACAGCTTTGAACGAAGTTACCAAAGTAGTAGAGTATATGCATGTGCTGTGAAAACTCTTCTGTAAACTATTAGTATTACTGTAAATAACTATACTGTGTGTATAGTACTGTTTATACTGTACTGCGCGCGTGCGTGCGTATTGTGTGTCATGTACTGTAAAAAGTAGCTGATTGTGACCCTACCATCCACAACAGTTGATGTGGAGAGGGGTTTTAGCAGACATAATTTGGTTAAAACAGCTCTGAGAAATAATCTGAAAACAAACAAAAATTGTGTTTGTGACATTCTGACCATCAAAATTGAAGGCCCAGAAGAAGAGATGTTTGACTTTGAAAAGTGCTATGTGCAGTGGTGTGCCAAAAAAGATAGGAGAATTTTCCTGCCAGCAGTGAATAAAAAAAATCAGACAATTTGAATGTCTCTGTCAGTCAGTCAGAGTCATGATGGTGAATCATAGTGTTAGTGTCTCAGTCATAGACAGGTGGTGAATAATAGTTTGTTTGCATTAAATAAGTGTAGTTTTGTACTTCATGCATATAAAAGTTTGTGGCTAACAGGAATCCAAATTGGCTAATGACAATTGATTCTGGCTAATTGTTTGGCTACAGAAAAAAAAATCCTAGCTAGGGCCCTGGTTATAGTCTAGTATAGTAATGCTGAAGGGGTCGTTGTCGTATCAGGTACTACAGATATATGTACCCGAGGTACATATATGTATACACAAAGTGTACCAGACTTCTACTACAGAAGTGTACCCTAACCCTAACACTAACCCTAGCCCTAACCCTAATCCTAACCCTAACCCTAAACATACCTCATATAAAAATATAAACATAATACTAAACAACCTAAAACTACCTCCTAATTATATAAAAATATAAACATAATACTAAACAACAAACTACCTCGGGTACATATCTGTAGTGGTACCTGATACGACAACGACCCCATCTGCTATAGTAATAGATAACTTAGTGGCGAGGCTGAGAAATTGCTTCACTCCCAGCCCAGTACGTATAGAACCTGTACGAATGCGGCAGGCAGCGGCCGAACGTGATAACAGAACGCAGACTGCTCGCTGGCAGCAATGTATTCGTGCGCCGGCCTACGCACTCGGCGCACGGATCCATAGCTGCCAGCGCTGCATACTGTCGTAGGACGTTCCCGCGGTCGCGTGCGCCTTGCCGCGGAACTTCGCGCAAGATCTGCGCTCAGCGCTTCGGATCAACACCTCCTTTCGGCAATGCTTCTCTAGTATCCCGTCTCATCTGGATCGACAGATCTGATTACTGTAAGCGTTATCAACTTTTGGGTAATAAAAACAGCTATTTTAGCACATCACTTGTCTTTCTTTTGTAATAGGTTGGTCAACATTCAACATATTTGAACATGGGTGGTTTAAAATGATAGCAGGGCATCTCCTTAAACAAATTTAGGGGTAAAAAGCACCATTAGAGCTTGTTCTTGGCCAAGGCAGGGGTGCTAAAAGCAATATTCAAGATTTCGAAGGTCAAAAATTGGTGACTTTTTGACCTCTAGTTACCTCATTATTCAACTATCATTAGAAAGAGCTCTTAAATACCAACATTTTGAGTGGTCACATGATCCATTACTGGCATTAGCTTTAAAAACAACAGATCTTGTACTTGTAGTTGTAGACTTTTTGTTTTCCCCACCCCTAATTTTTCGCCAATTTTTGAGTTGACGCTCTCAACACAAAAGGGTTAATACAGAAAATTGCTCAAGGGTGACGGGTGGTCATCCACCTATAAAGTGAAGACCAACACCTAGTCTACAAGAATCAACAACGAAAAAAACTTTAACTCTCAGTCTCAGTGCAGGGTTCCGCCCAAAATCAGGGTTTGGCTCCCGGACTACTAACCCGACCAGGCTGTGTGACTAACGTCAATACACCCAGTCAATACACCCGTTCCCCCCGTCATACAGGTATTCTAACCCTAGCAATACCGTTTCCTGGAGCTACCGGACTACTAGTACTACACAGTCAGCAGTTTACAAGGAGGGATTATTGCACAAACCCTTTCTCTAATATATATTAAGTTTTGGACGTATATCACAGGCAATTTTTTTAATTCTTTTGCTGCACATGATTAGGCTATATAACGATTTTCAGAAAATTGAGGATAGATTTACGAAGTTACCTAATGTTTACAGTTACTGGTAAGCGCCATTTTGTTGGTCATGTGACTCGTTTTATGTAGACTGATCCCGGCGTCAAGCTTGCTCTCTTTGTGCTAAAGAGTAAAGAACTGCTTGTGCTAGTACAAATACTGGGGCCGCGAACCCGTCTACGTTTCTGATCCCAATAGTGCGTTCGATTTGCTTCCCCAGAGCCACCTGGGTTAACCTGGGTACGAAATCAAACGCATCTGGGTTAGGGAAGATCCATAGAGTTGTATTAATATACTAGTAGTGCGTTCGATTTGCTTCCCCAAGTTAACCTGGGTCTACTCGGGCCAGCCCCAAATTCGTTCGATTTGGCAGTCACGTGGTATTTTTTCGTTACCCGGGTCAACCCGGGTGAGAATGAATAGTGCGTTCGATTTGCTTCCGCAAGTTAACCTGGGTCTACTCGGGCCAGCCCCAAATTCGTTCGATTTGGCAGTCACGTGGTATTTTTTCGTTACCCGGGTCAACCCGGGTGAGAATGAATAGTGCGTT